AGTCCTCATATTGGTGACTCATTTTCCATTGTTGTCAATCTTGCTAGAGGTTTATTGATTTTATTATTTTTTTGTTTTGTTTTGAAAAACCACCTTTTCCTTTTACTGTATTTTTCAGTTAGATTTTCCTACTTTCATTATCATTGGCTTCTGCACTTTACTACTCTATTCCTTCTGCTTGCTTTGGATTTATTTTGCTCCCCTTTTTCAGCAAAAGTAGGACTTAAATTATCAATATGACACCTTTCTTAATTATTATGGGGGAGTGAAAGTTTATTAAAATGCTTTAGAGAAGAAATGAAAGGAAGTGTACTTGGAAGAAGGTCAAGTGGGCAACATGAGATGATCAAGTGCTCCTTTCTTAATTTTTAATGTAAGTATATAGTGTTATGAATTTTCTTCTTAGTACTGCTTTAGCTGCATCCCACATACTTTGATATGTTTTCATTTATATTTAATTCCATGTATCCTTTTAATTTCCTTTGAGATGCCCTGTTTGACACATAGATTATTTAGAAGTGTGTTGTTTAGTTTTCGAGTGTTTTAAGGGTTTCCTGTTGTCTTTGTTAGAGATTTTCAGTTTAATTCCGTTACGTCCAGAGCACATGATGCCGATTATTTTACATTTGTCAGGTTTGTTTTACTATACATTTTATGTCTTTTTCTATTTGGTGAATGTTGCATGGGCAATTGAGAAAAATGTATTGTTAGGTGGTATGTCTTATAAATGTTAATTAGACCTTGTTGATTAATTGTGTTGCTCAGATTTTCCATATACTTGTGATTTTTCTTCTTCATAGTTCTAGTAGTTACTGGGGAAAGGGGAGAATGATGTTGAAGTTCCCAACTATAATTATAGATTCTTCTATTTCTCATTTCAGCTTTATCAATTTTTGCTTCAGCTATTTAAGGCTCTGTGGTTTCATTTATACATATTTAGTATATAGTGTCTTATGATTGATCCTTTTATCATTAAATAATATTCCTTTTTGTCTCGGTAATTTTCTTTGCTTTGCAGTCTACTTTATCAGACACTACTATTGCTACTTCTGCTCTTTTTTTAAAAAGTGTTCATGTATATGTGATATATCTTTTTCCATCCTTTTTATTTTCAACTCACCTGTGTTTGAACTTAAAATGAGTGTCTTATATATAGCATATAGTTGGATTATGGGTGGTTTTTAATTTGTTCTACCAATCTCTTTTAATTGGTGTATTTAGACCATTTACATTTAAGGTATTTACTGATCTGATAGCACTTTAGTCTGTTATTTTGTTATTTATTTTCTATTTGTCTCTTCTGTTTCTCATCACTTTTTTTTTCTTGCCTTTCTGCAGTTTATTTAAACATGTTTTAGATTCCATCTTGATTTATTTGTAATACTTCTGAGTTTGTTACTTTGTATAGTTTTCATATTGGTTGCTCTGGGTGTTACACATGCTATGTATAACAAGGTACTGGTGTCAATATTTACCACTTCAAATGAGGTGTGGAAACCTCACTTCCATTTAGGTCCCTTTGGCTTCCCCACCTTTAAATATCATTGTTTAGAGTTTCAGATGTTGTTACAATTTTTGTTTCAATCATAAAATATGATTTCTAAAACCCATAAGGAAAAAATTGTCTATTGTATGAACCCATATTTCTGCTCTATTGTTTCTTCTTTTTTCCTGATGTTCTAAGTTTCCTTCTTTAATCATTTCTTTGCTGTTTGAAGAACTCCCTTCAGCTAGTCTTTTAAGGGTAGATCTGCTAGTCACAAAATCTTTTAGTTTTCATTCACCTGTGAATGTTTTATAACCCTTCATTCCTAAAAGATAGCTTTGCCAAATCTAGAATTATAGGTGACAGTTTCTTTCTTTCATCACTTAAAAAAATATATGGCCACTTCCTTATTCATGGTTTCAGATAAGAAATCCATTCAAATTGGTGTTCTCCTACAAGTAATGCACTATTTCTCACTTGCTGCTTTCAGGACTTTGTCTTTAGTTTTCAAAAAATTATAATGTACCTGGGCATGGATTTTTTTTTTCCCCTGTGGGATTCATCTGCTTCTTGAATCTCTAAGTTGCTGTCTTTCATCTAATTTGGAATGTTTTCAGTCTTATTTCTTCAAATACTCATTCATCCCTACTCTTTTTCTACTTTACTTTCTGTTACTCCAATAATATGAATGCTGGATATTTTGTTATTGTTCCATAGGCCCTTGAGGTCTGTTTATTTTTTCTAGTATATTTTCTATTGTTCAGATTGGGTAAATTCTATTGTTCTATCCCAAATTCACAGATTTTATCTCCCATCATCTCTACTATACTATTAAGCCTATCCAATGAGTTTTCAGTTTGTTATTGTATTTTTCAGTTCTACAATTTTCATTTGTTTCCTTTTGATAAAACTATTTTTCTGAGGTTTTTGATTTTTTTCATTTGTTTCAAGAGAATTTATAATTGATTGTTGTAGCATTTTTATGATGTCTGCTTTAAAAATCTTAACAGATAATTCCAATATCTGATTTATCTCAGTGCTAGAATCCACTGATTTCCTTTTTCATTCAAGTTGTGATTTTACTGGTTCTTGATTTGTACTCTGAACATTTTACCTATTATGTAAGGAGACTTATTTCTATTGAAATATTTTGTTTTACAAGGAGTCAATCTGTTAGGTTTAGCATACAGTTTTAGCCTATTTTTGTGGGCTGTAATTCTAACTGTAGCTTAATTTTCAGAGCCCTTGTAGTGTTATTTTGGTTGCTTGGTTTATCTAAGGCTCCCACTGCTCTCTGATAGTGCTGCCTGAAAGGGCAGGAGGAATTTTCTGGCTGGGTTGCCAGATATCTCTTGGTGAGGGCAGGCTATGATGAATCCTGCTGGTGCCTCTAGCTGCCCAGATTTCTCTGGGCCTGGGAGGAGAGCCTTGCTTCCACAAAGAGGCTTCTGTGATCAGGTGGCTGGCTTCAGGAATGTTGGCTGTAACAGGTCCCTTTTCCTGGTTCTACCAGCCAATCCTATTATCTCTGGGCAGGAAAGGAGAGTCTCAGGCCTGTGCAAAAAGGATTCCCCACCTGGACCACCTATTTTTCCTGGGTTTCTCTTACTGGCTCCTCCTGTCCACCTCAGTATCTCTCCTTGGAAAGGAGGAGTTTCTGACCCAGCAGGGAAGAAGGGTGCTTCCCCTGGTTACTTATTTTTTGTAGGACTCCCAATCAGTCCCCCTTGCCTGAGGTTGCCAGAGGGACTCCAATAGGTTCAGGGGGAAGAATGAGCTTCTGGGCTATCTTCTGTTTCTAGATGGAAAGTCAGGAAACACCTGATAGTTAGGGGGATATAAGGTGCCCTGCCTCTGTGCTGCTCTTCTGGTCCTGAATTTTCAAACCAGCTCAACTTCTTCATAACCTTCAGAACTCTCCTTTTGTTTTTTCTTGTACCATTTCTAAGATGTATTAAGTTGTGCTTAGCAGGGCATAGCAGGGGAAACGGGGTAATGCCATCTTGTCCAGGCCAGAAGTCTCTCACCTACTGAATGTTGTGTTTACATTATCTATTTAAATACAGGTATGTTTTTGCTAATTTAGATCCAATTACATATGAATACTCAAAAATCCCAGAGAAGACTACCTAATGCAGAAATGTAACCTATTTTTTCCATGTAATTAATGAGATTGGGGGAAAATTGATGTGTCAATAAATAGGATCTAAAGTGAGCACATAAGGATACTGCTGAGGATCATACACACACACTCTTCTCCACTCAGGACATCTCCTTCCAATATGCTCAGGGTGGATCTCTATATGAAGCACAGACGGATTCACGGAAGCCTCCAAAGGGGCTGAGAAAAATGGGAGGAGGTGGTAGAGCCTATTAAAGGGACAATACAGTTTTTTCTTCCTGGGGCTGACTGGCAAGACCTGCCTGGATGCTTCTGCTTGGGAAACCTCAACTCGGAAAGGCTGAGTAGTATCAGGAGAATGGTAGCTCCAGAACTCCCTAGGTTGACTGGGCTCTTCTCTGAGCTATAGTGGTGAATGTGGCTTAATCCAATCAAATGCACCAAACTAGAAAAGCAGATATTTATTTGGAGCAGCATCCTCAGCTTGGTATGTTTTCTTTCTTTCTTATTTATATACTATGTTGTTCCCAAGAAGGATTTAAAGTGACTTCAATGATTATACAATATATATGAAAATATAAATTAGATACATGGGTAAAAAAGAACAAGAGGAAAATAAGGCACAGGAATAAGGCTGGTGCAAAACTGCTTCTCTGTGATTTTTCTACAGTTATAATAAAGAGTCCATGAGTGGCACATGGCTGGGGTATTTCCTGTGTCATCTCTGACTAGAACCTCAGGACGGGGCATGGAGATGGCAGGATAAACTCCTAACAAGAAAGGACCCTCAAGACATGCCATAGAGGAAGACACATTCTGATGGGAATTTCTCTGTAATACTCCATAGATTTCCTCTTCCTGAAACATGTTTGTTTTCTTCTCAAAGATTTCCAGGTTCTCACTTTGAGAATGTCCTTTGTTTTGGGCAGTGTAATCTACTGAAAGACTCAGGCTACTGAGTTCCTGAGAGATCACATTCCAGTTAGGGTCCGTTACAAGTCAGAGACTATATAAATACACAAGAGAGCAAGAACCAAGGCTAAAACTACAGTTGGTAATTCCTCAAACTCTTACTTTTTTGTTTTTTGGCTTTGGGTTTTTTTTTTGTTTTTTTTTTAAGAGATGAGGACTTGCTCTATGGCCCAGCTTGGAGTACAGAGATGTGATCATGGGATCCTGGCTCATGGCAGCCTTGAACTCCTGGGCTCAAGGGATCCTCCTGCCTCAGCCTCTCAAGTAGCTGGGACTACAAGTGCATGCCACTGCACCCAACTAATTTTTTTTTTTTATTTTTTGCAGAGATGGGGTCTCACTATGTTGTCCAGGTTGGTCTTGAACTCCTAGCCTCAAGCAATCCTCTCACCTTAGCCTCTCAAAGTACTGGGATTACAGGTGTGAGCCACTACACCCAAGTTCAAACTCTTGTATTTAAAATTCTTCTTTTTGATTCTCAGAATCTAAGCCAAAATTGTTAGATTCAGACTTGCAGGTCCCAAGTCAGCTGGAAATCTAGGTGATGATGATGACACATAGGAGCCAAGAAGTAGCCACAGAAGTTATACTGTGCTTGGTGACTAAATGACCACACTCCTTCCACTATGAGAGCTGTCTTTCTCCTGGGGAATAGAAGAACATACACAAAAAAACACCCAGTCAGTGTAATCTGTCTTTGCATTTAACACATAAGTTACGCTTGATTCACAAATGCTAAGTGAGTAGTGGCTGTCAGGACAGCAGATCCGAACCTAAAAAATATTTCTTGACTCTTCATGAAACCAATCTCTCTCTCCAGGCTTAGGTTTTTCTTGCTTTCCTCTCTGGAGACTCCCTCAAATACTTGTAATTTCTGAAAATTTCTTCCAGTCTAATTCACTCTGCCTCTGGCTCTGTTTTCTGATATCTTCAAGTCTCCCTTAGACTGAAAAAGGGATACTTTGTTTCATTCCTCAGTCTGTCTCTCTCCCATTCATCCATAAAGACATTGCTCAATTCTCTTTTTCCTTTTTATAATCTCCTGAATCATTCCTTCCTAGCCCTTTTCTAAAAAGTTTGGCTTTAAGCCTCAGTATTTCTCTGAAGTAATTTTTTAAAGATCACTAATTACTTCTTCCTAACCAAACTCAGTGGCTTTTTTTTCAGAAGTTATTCCACTCCACTTGGTCTTTGGGCTTTTTCCACTTCCTCGATGAGGGTTAGAAACTGTGGTTTACATTTCTCATGTTTCTGTAACTACGGTAGGGGATCATTTTATTTAGGTCTTGAATATTTACAGTTGTGGTCCATGAATATAACCATCCTCATCTTATTTGAAACAGGAAGACAAGGTATCTGTCCTAAAATATACTGCCCAAAAGGGATCACATATATATATTTTCATGTTGCTATAAAAAAAAGTTTTCGATTTATGAGGAAAGTGAGTTTTAGGGGTCATGATTTCTAATCAAAACACTGCATGACAAATGTTCTCTGACATAAACGAAAACAATGAAATGCGGTAAAAAGAACTTGTCCAGGGTTTGCTAAAAGAAAACCTAGACGTGATCAAGGAGTAGACATTTTGTTGAAAGTAGAAGACTAAGAATGCCGGCATAAAACTTTAAAAAATTAAACCAAAAAGTCAAGAAAAAAGCTGGGATTCTCTATAGAAAGTTTGAATTCAGCTTGGAGAAGAAGGAATGCCGTGCTTTTCTCTTACATTAGAACAGGTGTATACAGGCCAAGTTTGGAACAAGCAAGAAATGCCTTGAGATACCTTAGGGCAAGTTTAGAAACAAAGATAATTGATTGGAAGGAGTCCAGGAGCAGGGACCACTCAGTCTGTAATCACTGAAGGTAAAAGCTTGAAGTTTTTGCTCCTTATATTTCTGAGGTTATAGCTTCAGTGGAGTGAATTGAGAAGATCTTGGCTGGAATCTTGGTTCTGAAGTTGGGTGGAAGATCCTCAATATAACTTAATTTTCTCATGGGTACTGTGTAACATATAGTTCCTACCTATTTCAGGTTCCCATGAAATCATCTGCATGGAAGCCCTTGTTTGTCAGGATCTATTTGTTAAACATTACTCTTGAGAGAGAAGATTCCATGTGAACAACAAAAAAATTGTTTCATTTATGTTTGTCTAAATACCAAATAAAGGATTTTAAATAAGCATTTTATAAAAAGTTATGGTAAAGCTGTAACTTCTGAAAGCCTGCTTTAGGAAAATAGTGAGATATCTTATCAACTCAAGCAGTAAACAGGAACTTCCAGTGCTGCATGATGGAAGGTCACCATCTAGAGGCCCAATTGTATTATGATGTTTCACTACAAGCTCCAGTGACTCCAGAGGCTAGGAAGGCAGTCTGTGTAAGAAGCAGCAGGCAGCCCCAAGGAGAGGAGGGAAGAGCAAGACTTTGGCCCTGGAGACTTTGCCTCAGTAAAGGCATTCAAAATTCAAGTTACAAACAAAACAAACTAAACACCGTGCCCTTCAAACTGAGAAACCTGCCAAGTCAAGCTTTGGTCCTGGGCCTCTTCTCACTGTCAGAATATGAATGGAAAGTTGAATGTGGTAAGTAAAGTGATAATTCCTTGGGGGATAAGCTCAAAGAGACTCCAAACAATGGAGGCTTTTACAATTTCTTGTGCAAAATCCTTGTTTCTTGGGAGTAACTTTACAATTGAAAATTTGGCGTGGTTGAGGTGGGTGTTAAAGGAAGCTGTGATATTTTCAGAAAATGAGGAAGAAATAAAGTCACCAGAAGATATCATTGACTCTGAATGATAATCTCTCTTTCTCTCCTTTTTTTTTCATTTTCTGAGTCAGGGTCACATTCTGTTGCTCAGGCAGGAGTGCAGTGGTGCAATCATGGCTCACTGAGCCCAGAACCTGGGCTCAAGTGATCCTCCTATCCTCCTGAGTAGCTGAGACTATAGGTACATGCCAGTGCACTTGACTATACTTCTCTCTAAGGAGGCAGCATGAGTTATTGAAAGGGCACAAGCTTCAGAATCAAAGCATGATTCAAACTTGAGCTTTGGGCTGTGTGGCTTTTGGCATGCTACTCAACCTCTCTGACCCTCCCACAGTTGTGAGGATTATGTGAAATAAAGCTTGGAAAGGCCTTATCCAGTGTCTGGAATGCAACTGGAGTTCCTCACCCTTCTCTTACTTACAAGAAGCCACATAATTTAGCTTAAAGAAAATAATTTAACTTAGAAGAAAATAGCATGTAGATTTGGGGCCCAAACCTGGACCTTAATTTTAGTTGTTATTATAATGAAGAGACCTGGTTTAGTCACTATATGAGTAAAGGAACTGTGATTTTCCCAGCTTTGACTGTGTTTTCTTTCAGGATGTAATTTTCTTACTGGTAACATGGAAGAAACAGTTGTATCATCTAGGATAATAGTTCAAAACACACAGGGTTGCTGTGAGGATTAAGTAAGATGCTGTATAAGATCAGTACCACTTAGTAAGGGGTAGCTATTTTCACTATTGTTGATCCTCGTTACTCAAGGGACATCTGTGAGAAGATGGCATAATTGCCATTGATTATTACAGAAATGCCTGCTGGTCTTTGCTACCTTCCTCACAAATCACTCTCTCACCAAGGTTCTTCTCTAGAAAGAGCAGCCCTGTGGCTCTCCTAAGAGGCCTGCTCTTTTGTACATACCATGTATGTGATTGATTTTTTTAAAAAACTCACAGCAGAACATGTACTTCCAAATGAGGGCTGTAACCTTCACAGCCTGTGAGAGACTACAGTTCTTCTTTGATAATATCTCTGTGCTTCGGGAACTTCTTTCAGAGCTACTGCATATAACTTTGACTATCTCAACAGAGGCAAAAGAGAAAAGGATTTTGGTGAAAGAGAGAAAAGATCTTCATGGGTAGCCTGTAGGTTGCTCTGAGGTAGTTTATTGACGTTTTTGAGCAATGGCAGCAAATCTTTGCAAAGTGGTAACATTAAGGAATGCTGCCATTTGGATGTATTAATTATAAAATAATTTTTAAACTCACTTCTTTAAAAAAATGCAAAAGATCTGCATTCAGAGGCCCCAAAGGCCTACATCCTTCTGTGTTCCCCTTTTAACTATGTCTGGCACCCTTTGGCATCTTGCCTATTCACAGAATCCTAATGTTTTGGCCCATATAAGGAATATCAGGTTTTAAAAATCAGTTTAATGGTCCTTTCCAGGGGATGTCTCAGAGGGTCCCAACCTCACATATACCAGGGCCTTGCATGCTGACTTGACAAGTGTCTTCTGTTAGGCCTAGTGTTCTAATTTGGGGTATGGAAATGGGATGCTAAGTAAAGAAAGCAAAACAGCTGTGAAAGGAGGTGAGGCTTTAGCCACAAACGCCTGCGTTCAAGTCCTAGCTCATGGCTCGCAAGGTGCTTAATCATGCTGAGCCTCATTTCCTCCTGTGACCCTGCTTGGCCTGCCCTACAGGACTGTGATGACAACCGAAGCTGAAGATGAGAAGGCCCTTCACAGGCAGCGAACTCTCCCCTGCACTCCGCACTCACTTGATTTCTTTAGCTCTAACAAGAGGTAACCCACCCAGCCCACAGTGTAATTTGGGCAAAACAGGGAGGAGGCTACCTCTGAGGCAGCATGAGAGGCAGCCTGTGTTGGCTGTGGCCACGCCTGGCTGGAGGCGCCTCTCTGCCCATGCCCGACCCTCAGCAGGATGCCCCAGGCTCACCGAGCGCCTCTCCACACTCCCTTTTTTCCTGTCATTCTTGCCTGGAGTGACATCCAGTGAGCGGTAGCTAGGCGGCTTCTCCTCCTGCCAGTGTGGGGAGTGTGAGTGGCGGCGGTGGGCCCCCCAGCCCTGGGGTTGCCTCTCCTTCTCCTCTTCAGAGCTCCAGGAACTGAGGCCGGAGGGCAAGGGAGGGGAATAGCTGCGGTGCCTGTGATGTCTCCCGTGCCTCTGAGTGCTCTCCCGGGGGCTGAGCCTGCGGGGCCTCTCCTGACAGCGGCTCCTGAACGAAGGGTGGCTTGGCTGCCAGTGTGCCTCGCTGGACGAGGGGACATCACTTAGGCTGTCCCTGTCTGACCAGTGTATGGGTGACTCATTCAGTCTAGAGCTATGGCGCCTTCCACTCCATGACGGGTCCAGCTCCCTTCTTTCCAATGCCCAAGATTTTGGCCCCTGATTCCGGAGCTCCTGGTGGAAATGATGCTGCCTTCTCCCCTCCCTCAGATCCCAGGGCCTGGTGGGAATTGGGGTGAGCCACTGCTGGTGCAGGGAGTCACTGGTCCTCCTTGAAGATGACAGGTCTCTGATCAATGGGGGCAGGTGGATGATTCTGCGTTCCACGACCTCGGAGCCCAGGGAGGACAGCATGCTGCAGGGATGGCCAAATCTGGCTTTGAGGTCAGGGGGCAGAGGCTGGGCCAGGTTGAGGTTCCGCAGTTCATTCTCCAAATACTCCAGGACACCATTGGTGATGGGAGGGTGATTGGTGGTCTGGGTCATTGGCATCTGAGGGAGGCTGGACTGCACGGACAAATCTGAATGGAAACAAGGATAGGACATATAGAATAAATCAGGACATCAAAATGTGACATTGTTTAGCGTGACTCCCTCCCATCCTCCATCAAGAAGATGCCTGCCATATTGGTCACAGAGGCCTTGATGTAGCCCATGCTTCTGCCCTTGCCCTCTGCCCTCCCCTACCCCAAATCTCTGGAGAAGTTTACCTCGCTGCAGCAGCGGGTGCATTGGATAAGATGAAACCTGGGAGCTCCTGTCCGCCCCCCAGTACAGGGGTTTTTCCATCATCTGAGGACCTAGGGCCTGGGCCTGCTTCACGTAGCGGTGGCGGGCCAGGACTGCAGGGGAAGAAGGAGAAATGCAGACCCTCAGCCAGGGCAAGCTCCACATCTCCTACTTCACTTCTCTCCTCCTAGGGGCCTTGCAAGAAGCCAGCTTCTCTCCTCACCTATCTTGTCCATTTTCACCTATCTTGCATGGGAGTAAGGCAAAGGAGGTAGTAAATTAAATGCCCCCCCCCCACCCTGGCGAAGACCTGGAGTTAAATTCTCTTCAAGACTGCAACTTCTGTACCCGAGGAGAGCATATTCTTAAAACTTGACTTCCTAGCCTCAAAATCATTTCATCACCCTGCCCACTCCTAAGGTCACGCAAAATGCATAGGTAGATGCATGGATACTAGCATACAATGAATTATTGGGCCATAGGCCAACAAAACTAAAAGTCAAAGGTCAGAAACAGAAGATGTAGATGCAAAGGGCTTAGAGGAGGCTGTGAGTCAGGGGCTGGTGGTGTCTGTTCAGAATGAAAGAAAAAGGCTAAGACATGATGCCGAAGATAATGGGCAGAATTACTTGGCAATTGCATGGAAGAGTGTTTCTTGCTGGCATGCCAACCCTGGTGGGATAGAATCTGTGGGAAGAAGGCAAGGGCATACAAAAAGCTCAAGTAAATTCCAGTGGGTCCTTTCTACTCTTCTCCCCGCCTTATTAAGTATTGAGATTGTCCCTAAGCAGGGGGAATTTCTAAGGGGTGGGGTAGAGGCAGGGAAGGGGAAAGAGAAATATCATCTCCTTTTATGGCAAGAAAATCATGTAAAAAAGTGGTAAAAGGGATCCATAGGCACGTCCCTCCAACCCCCTAGGTGGAGCTGGTCTGAGGCATTCAATCCACAGTGAATACAAATTAAAAACAAAAGCATTTTGTTGTTTTTGTTCATGCTTTTCTGTTTTGGGGTAGTTGTGGCTGAGTGCCTCATGTTTCCTAAGGGCTCTGCCTATCCATGCATGTTGGACACGTAGCTGTACGTTAAGTGCAGGAAGTGCCAGCCTCAGGCTATGAATGAGGATAGGCCCCAGCTGGGCATTCTCAGTTCCTCCTTGCTTCCCTGGGCCCTGTGGCTACCCCTAAAACAGCAGGGCCCAGGCCCAGTAGAAGGGGCAGAAAGCTGGCATCCTGAATGCAGCCACATAGTGCGTAGGATTTGCCAAGGCCAGCAGCAAAGCGGCCATCCAGTGGGCTGCCCAGTGATTCCAGTATAAAACTTCCAGCACAACAGGAAGTGGTTGTAACAAGAGTCCTCAGAAGTGTTGGGAGCTCCAGCCCTCAGGGTTAGTCACAGCCTTGCCTGGAGGAAATCCGATGCAAACTTGCAGCAACTTCCCTAGCAGCCACGCCTTCATGCCAACTGATAGCCTCCAGCCTCCTTGAAGACAGGTCCCGCAGGCTCAGAGCAGCCCCCTCCCTCTGCAGAGATGCCTCTCCCTAGCTCCCTCTACTGGCCACCACCAACACACACACTAGAATGCCCAGCCTTATACATATAATTTACTTCGCATAAGCTAACTAGCTCTCTGAAAAATCTCTTCATGTGGGAATCCGATGAGGAAGTTGGGCTCAGAGAGATTACCTTCCCAGCATAAAGTTCCACAGCTAGCGACTGACAGAGCCAGGGTGTGAACCTGTAAGACACTCAAACCCTCTGCTCTTTAAGGATGTGCCACACAACCAAGTCCTCAGACTCCTTTATTTGCTGTGATGAAGCAAAAAACCTTCCTTGCAAGCACCTCTTATTTATCTCTCTCTAACTCAGCTCCAGACCTTTCAAAGTCCTCTCCAGACTAGTCTCTCCTTCCACGACCTGGGGACATCTGATTCCAAGGAGAACAACCCTACTCACTGTTCTCCTTTAATGTAATTCTCGCTTCTTCCAGATGGTTCTGTTCCCATTTAGCCACTCCTGCTTCCTTCAATCAAGGAGAAAGGCAGAGTTGTGCTTCCTCTTTGCTTCTCAAATGATTTTTTTCATTAATGGGACTCTCTCCACAATTAACTCCCTAACAACCCTTCCAGATCCTCCATGAGTGTTTCTGACATTTCCCTGAGTTGTTTTCACCCAGTCCAGAGATTAACTCACCTGCTCCCTTAGCTGCCACAATCTTTTTTCCAGGGTCTCACCGTTCATTGTTGCATAACACTAATGAAACAGGGATGGAAGACACAGCCTTTGAGCTCTTCTCTTGCCTGCCTTCACCCACATCCCTGAAAACAGCCGCATGGAATGTCTAGACTATCGGGGATATCTGTTGCTCACCTAACAGGGAATCAGACAGGCAGTAAAAGAAACCTGGACAAGGCAACAAAGCTGCAAAAGACTTCCAATAAGTTATCTCTTAGCCTCCGTGGAGTAAAATCTGCCTTAGTCACTCTAAATGAGCTTGTTAAAATACAGCTTTCTGAGTCTCACTCCCAGGGACTCTCCTTCCGTTGGTCTAATGCAAGGCATGAAAATTTGTATTTTCAACAAGCTCCCTGTTTTAATAATGTAGCAGTCAACTTGGAATTGACTGCTGAGGATTCTCAATAACACTTTGGTCACCATTCCTTACGGTCCCCTCTCTACTCTTACAGAGCCCATTCTTGCCCTTCTTTTAACCTATGGTCACTCAGTCTATTTGCTTTCTCCAAAACTACCAGTCCTTCCTGACTTGACTGACAAGTCATTTCTGGGACATCCTCAGCTGCTTCCTAGAATGCCATGCCCCTTTGAACTCTTGTCATTTTAGCTTTAGGAAACTACCAGCAGATGCTTCTTGGTCCCAATTAGGCAACTGACCTCAAATAGCCCTCCTCCCAATAGGGCTTTCCTTGTTGATCTCTCAAACATGCATTGCCTCCTCTACAGCAGTAGGTTAAACATTCCCCACCTCTTAGGTCTTCCCCTGGCTGTGAACTTTCTGCTGATAACATCATCTCTGTTGACGAAGAGGAACCAGCCCTGAACATGGAGCCAAGAAACCTAGGTTTAGTCCAGGGCCCACTGCTAATATGCCATAACAAAGCAATTGTGGAAAAATCTCTCTCGACCTCGCTCCCTCAGCTGTGAGGGGGAAGAGAATGGGGAAGAAGAGATCAGAGATTCTCAGTGTGGCTTGTGGCCTACTGCAGGGCATTCCTGGAGGTTTTCCAGTAAGGAGGGCCAGTAACTGCTCTAGGGATGAAAGCTGTTTCTCCAGTTCTCATGGAAAAAATTTAAAAAGCTGTTTACCACTATTAGGTGAACTATCTAAAATTTGGTCTTATTTTTCTTTTTCTCCTCTCTAATCCTTTTTAAACTCTCACTAGAAAGGGGAGCAGGTTGGGGAGGTGAGATGTGATCAAAGAAATTCAAGAATCACTGGCATGTTTCTTGAAGCTTCCTTTTGCATCTAAAATTTTGATTTGCTGAAATCAAGTCAGGAAGATGTGAGCTCCCTCAGCTTCCTCCTTTAGGTCTTAATCATCTTCCACATTGTAATGACTTCCTTTCTGCCTTCAGAGGCCAGGCTGCTTCCCTTTCCTTTCTGCTCCCTTTCAAAGGCCAGTTCTTTCCCTGTAGGCCTGAGGCCACTCCTACCAGCTTCATCACTCATCAGTGACCACCTCCCTTCTTTTTGTTTTTTTGAGACAGAGTCTTGCTCCATTGCCCAGGCTGGAGTGCAGTGGCATGATCTTGGCTCACTGCAACCTCTTCCTCCAGGGTTCAAGCAATTCTCATGTCTCAGCCTCCCAAGTGGCTGGGACTACAGGCGCCTGCCACCATGCCTGGCTAATTTTTGTATTTTTAGTAGAGATGGGGGTTTCACCTCATTGGTCAGGCTGGTCTTGAACTCCTCCACATGCCTGAATGTCCCAAAGTGCTGGGATTACAGGTGTAAGTCACCGCACCTGGCCCACCTCACTTCTTAATGCTTCGCTTTACTCACTTGCTATTAACCTTGGTTCTTTGCTTATAAATATGCTTAGGATTACCTTATTCTACAGGCACCAACAATAACCCCTTACTCCCTCAACCAAAGAGCTTTATTTAATAACTCATGCCTTTCCATGTTAATTCTTCTTGTCAACAGACTTCTCAGGACAGTCTGACCTAGTGACTCACTTTGAAAGTGACCTCATCGGCTTAAGTTCAGGGATCTTTGTGGTCTACGTTTCTTGATTTTACTATTTAAAAAAAAATGAACATAATTACTCAGGAGAAACAACCCTCCCCCAGAACCTCCATTTATTATCTTACTAATAAGGGATGCACTTGACATTTGTGTTAGTTCTGTCCCCAGTCTTGCCTGCTTTTAGTGCCCCATGGACCTAGGGAGTTTAAGCAAGCATCTTGGGTGGGTTTTTCTTATCTCATCCTGCATATTATGACTCCAGGGACAGTGACTTCTCCATGGCCTCCCTCCCTAAGATCCCTGAAAGGTAGGGGGCCCCACAGTGCAATGTTGCATCCTCCGCTACTTTTACCCTCCTGTGGTGTCTTAGCCAGTCCCATAGTGATCCACCTACAGAGGCTATGACAGTCTCTGTTGTAGGAATGTAGACTCTCACAAGACAGATGAACATGGATTCATCACCGCACAGCCACTGCTGCTTCCTAATTGTGGGGCTTTTCTGACCTTCGGTCCGCTGTCGTTAAACAGGGATGACATCTGCCCTCCAGGGTGGCTGTGAGGATTCAGTGAGGAAATGTATGCAAGGGGCCTACACATCAGACATCCAATAAAAGTTAGTTCTCTTTTCCTGTAAGACAGCAACCTCAGAGCACAGGCCTGAAACCAGACTCAAACACACTGTAGACCAGGTTTTGTTTCTATCTTAACAGGTCATTCATTAGTTTTCCCTTAAAAAATTTCCTTTCAAATGGATCAAACTGATAAGAGTGGTTATCTCTGGGTACTCAGATGAGTCATTACAGTTTGCTGAATTTCTCAAATTTCTACGAGATAGTACTTTATTTAGATCATCAGGAAAAGGAAATGTTATTGAAAACAAAAGCCAAAAATAATTAAAAACCTTCCATTTAAAGCAGTTGGTGCTATTCCATGTATTTGACTAAAAATATATCTTTATAGAATAATTTTGTATTCTCGTACCTTTACCATGTATTCTGTAGTCAACATTTTTTAGGACATAATTTAGTTACAGTTCTGTTTTAAAGGATAGGATGTTAGTCCAGGGGAAGATCACATTGAAAGCAAGATCATCTGCTCCCTCTTCCCTTGCCCTAATTCATGGGTTCTCAAAGTGTGGCCCCCCTACCAGCAGCATCATATCACCTGAGAACTTTTGAGATAAGAAATCAAAATAAAGTTCTAAGCTCTCAAATGACTAACAGACCCTCTCTTGGCCAAGGGGACCCCAGAGAAACCTTGCAAGCTAAGTTCATGGCCATGATGAGATGGGAGGTCAGACACGCCTTATTATACCCCTCCCCCACTGACCAGCCCTTTCAAAAGACTCCATGTGATAATATCAATTATTAGATTACATTCCCAGGTACAGAACAAAGACAAGATGAGGTCTAATTCTTCTTTTCCCCTTTTCTAATGTTCACCTTATCTTTTGTAAAATATAGATTTGCTGGGTGCCGAAGTTTCACAAGTATATAACCATTTGTTTCATTGCTGCCCCTGACTTCTTAAGGAAAATGTATAAATACTGAACCTCCTGGGAACCTCTTTGAAAAAAAACAGCCACAGATGCATCTGTGACCTGTGTTTTTTCCCTGGGTATGCCCTTAAGCTAAACCTCAGTGATCTGAGTCTTATGCCTCAGTCACTCATTTTGATTGCTAGAGAAATAAAAAAATCTCAGGTCCTACCCCGGACCAATTGAGTCAGAAAACCTGGAGGTGGCAGCCATAAATTAAGGAGGAAAAAAAACAAAACCAGAAATCATCCCCACCTCCTGACCTCTAGGGAGGGCAGAGTGGCTGAAGGTTGACTTGATTACCGATAGCCAATGACTCAATTAATCATGCCTATGTAATGAAGCCTCCATAAAAACTCAAAAGAACTGGGTTCAAGGAGCTTCCTGGTTGCTGAAGACAGAGGTACTGGGAGGGTGGCACACCTGGAGAGGACATGGAAGCCACCCCCCCCGCTGCCCCGACCACATACCTCGCTCTATACAGCTCATCTGGCTGTTCACTTGTATTCCTTTAAATATCCTTTGTAATAAGTGGGTAAACATAAGAAAACTTTTTCCTTGAATTCTGTGAGCTGCTGTAGCAAATTAATTGAACTGGAGGAGACAATCGTGGTAACTTGCGATCTATAGCCAGTTGCTCAGAAGCACAGGTGGCAACCTACTAGTTGCAATTGCAATTGGCATATGAAGTAGGGAGCAGTCCTGTAGGGGACTGAGCCTTCAACCTGTGGGATCTGGTGCTATTTCAGGTAAATAGCATCAGAATTGAGTTAAATTATAGGACATTCAGTTGGTGTCTGCTAAATAATTCTTTTTTGTGTTGGGAAAACACACACAATTGGTGTCAGAAGTATTGAGTGGCATGTAAGAATAGGAAAAAATAGTGTTGTTTTCCTTTACAAGTGGCCTTCTCTCTCTCTCTCTCTCTTTTTAAATTGCATTTTAGGTTTTGGCATACATGTGAAGAACATGCAAGACTGTTGCATAGGTACACACATGGCAGTGTGATTTGCTGCCTTCCTCCCCTTTACCTATACCTGGCATTTCTCCCCATGCTATCGCTCCCCAACTTCCCACTCTCTGCTGTCCCTCCCCTATTTCCCCCCAACAGACCCCAGTGTGTAGTACTCCCCTCCCTGTGTCCATGTGTTCTCATTGTTCAACACCTGCCTATGAGTGAGAACGTGCGGTGTTTGATTTTCTGCTCTTGTGTCAGTTTGCTGAGAATGATGGTTTCCAGGTTCACCCATGTCCCTACAAAGGACACGAACTCATCGTTTTTGATGGCTGCATAATATTCCATGGTGTATATGTGAGTGGCCTTCTCTCTTATTGCTTCCTTTAAACCACTCCCTCCAGCCCACCTTATGTCCAAATGAGGTCAGTGCTAGAAACGAAGATCGAAGCACAGATACATCAGGACTGCTGAAGAAATGCCATTAGTAGGCAGAGCTATTTGAGAGAGAGGCTGTAGGCAGCCTGCGAAGTGAACAGGCAAATGTTCTCCTTTCAGCCACCTTCCATGTGGCTCTTCGGCATCCCCAAGCACAACTTTCTGGGCTGAGGCTAATGTCCTCTGGCCCTGTGATGGGAGAAGGCAATGGAGGAGAACCTGGAAGCAACTTTGACCTGGGCACTTGAAGCTGATCTGCTTGGGGTCCTGGGCCCTAGTCCACTCCATGCACTGCTTGTCTGTCCCCTCTCACCTTCCTCAGGACAGCAGCAGCGGGCGGGACAGCAGGGGCAGCGGATGTAGCAGCAGCAATACTGAGGACAGCACTGGCACCAGCACACTCCGATCAGCAGCAGGAGGAGGAGGGCTCCCAGGATGATGAAGATTACTGTCAGCCAGTCTGCAGGGGAGACACCAAGCAGGGGTTGAACTAAATATTCAGGGGGAATACTTCCAGTTCTGATATTCCAGAGGTCTCATAAATATAGTTCTTGAACTACAGGTTAAAGTTGAGCAATATACTGGCAAAAAATTAAAAGTTTAGCTTTGATAAGGGAGCATCAGAGGTTGATAATCCAATGACAAGAACTTAGGCTTGCTTATTTCTGTTTTGTTTTGTTTTTTCCTTAAGTAAAAGTGTTACAGCAGTGAGGTTAACTAAATAGACAGCTCCAGTGGCACTTACGCAGGACGATGAGCTTCACCTCCTTATCAGGGTCTCCTGATGTGTCCCCTGGAGCCTCAATGGTACAGTAATACACTCCATGGTCCCACCACATCACTTCATTAATCACAAGATCTGCTCCTACACAGTAAGGAGGAAGAAAGTGCCAGTGTCAGAGGAGAGGGCACTGGTTTCTAACCTGTGACAGCCTCAAGACCTGGGCAGCATGGCAAGACCTTGTCTCTACAAAAAATTTTTTTTAAAATTAGCCAGGCATGGTGGCCATGTGCTGATAGTCTCAGCTTCTCTGGAGACTGAGGTGGGAGGATCACCCAGTGTCTTGAGCCTAGCCACTAAAGTCAAGGCTGCAGTGAGCTATGAATGTGCTAATGCACTCCAGCCTGGGCAACACAGTGAGATCCCATCTCAAAAAAAAGTTAAAATCAAAATATTGTTTAAGTCACTAGTATATGGGGCTTTTACTTACTCATAATCAAACCTAATTCTGACTGGTACAGTGGGTTTGATCATTTAGCTGCATTGCAGATGAGTAAAATCAAGACTCAAAGGCAGTGGCCTAATAACATACAGACAATGCTCATCAGAGGTAGGTTCAGGCTCACATCTCTCTGCCTCAAAATTGATACTGTTAACCACCAAGCTTTCCTGTCTTCTCTAAATTGGGTGAAAAAACTCCACATTCTGGGTCCCTCATCAGCCTAAAATGAGCAGATATCGCTTGATCCTAAAGGACAGGTATGAGATAAACTTGAATAAAGATAAAATGCCAATATTTTAAGAGTAAATGTAACTCAAGGAAAGTTTCAGTTCTTGTGGGCCCTCAATGTTGTGTACCTCCATTAGGATAGATGAATCGTTTACATATAATTGCTTTTCATTCATTTTCTTTTTAAATTTTAAGGTCAGAGGTATACGTGCCAGTTTGTTACATAGGTAAATGTGTGCCATAGTGGTTTGCTGCACAGATCATCTCATCACGTAGGTATTTAGAGCTGTTCTTCCTGATGCTCTCCCTCCTATCCCCAACGCACCCTCCAACAGGCCCCAGTGTGTGTTGTTCCCCTCATGTGTCCATGCGTCCTCATCATCCAGCTTCCACTTATAAGATCATCAGGGTGGAAAAACAATCTACCAGATGGGAGAAACATTTTGTAATTTATCCATCTGACAAATGTCTAATATCCAGCATCTACAAGTAACTTAAAACAAAAGGTTAATATTTATGTTCAAGTTTAGTAAAGTCAGCAAACATTCACTAAAGCCCTTTCGTGGGTCCAGCACTATGTTAGGCAATGAGGAGATATAAAGAGAAACAAGACCCTTTTCTGTTCTGAAAGGGTTTAAAATCCAGTCAAAGGCAGCCTCCATGTAAAGTGCAGCAGCAGTTCCAGCTCTCCGACCCACAGTAAGCACCAGGAAACCTTAGCGTTACAGACTTATTTCTGCTAAGTTGGTGGTAATATCTCTAATTCTTTATTATCTGTTTGTCAAGAAATATTTATTGAGGAAATGAAACAAAAATGCAAGGTCACGCACCACTGGACCTAACTTTGACTTCTGTTTCCTTCTCTTTCTACGTCAATCCCTATAATTTTTTCCTACCCACTATTTTCCAAACCTGCTACCTTTCCCAGAAATAAGCTTACCCCAGACTTGGAAAAATGGTGAAAGTGCTTTTAAAAAATTCCCCCCTCAGAGCATGATGTATATTGTAAGTCTGGTCTAATTTTTATTGGAGAAATAAAGAGTATTTTAGGAGTGTCAGAGCAAGAAGGGTATTCAGATATTTTAAAGGATCTAAGAACTGATTTGTCAGGGTCATCTCAAATGATGCAAACATAGGCATACAAGTGTCAGAAACAAGGGCTCCAGGAAGTCCCAACAAGCCTGGAGACAGAAATAAAAACAGAGGGAAATACTTATGTTTTTCTGTGGGAGTAAGAAAGAAGTAGGGTTTGAGCCAAAGGTGGCTGGGAGTGGAAACAGTGGAAAGTATATACCTTCATGTTTTTAGAAAACAAAAATAATAATAAGGGCAGGGGCTAGCATGTAGGTGGACTTCCATCCTTCAGAAACCGTACAGGTAATTTTGCTAATTAAAGAGGCTTGAAACTGTGAAGTCAGATAAGAATAAATTCTGCTGGCTTTGGAAAAGGTAGAACCACCTTTGATCTTTGAAGATGCCCCTGGAGACTAGAAAAGAAGGACAGATGTACCCTTAGGCTGAGGGCTGGCTTGAGGAAACCAGAGTCCAAATGTAAAAAGAAAAAAAAAAATCAGACAGGTATTATAGACAAAGTTGAAAGCACTTACTACACGGGTTCCCTTTAAATGAGCTATCTTTAAACAGTCAGAATATTCACTGATTCCTTGATATTGTAAACAGTCAGAATATTCACTGATTCCTTGATATTGTAGCTATGGGCACCATGAGTGGGTCTTCTTCCCCTTTTCTCCTTTTTACTAACAAATATTTATTTAACACAGCACATAAAGCCCATTGAAATAGGCTCTGAATTCTGTGTTGACAATCTATGGCAGCAACTGTGGGTTACACGATAGAAATATGGGGAGCTAAGCCATTTATCCAAAAGTATACTGAGTGATAACTAATGCTCACTGTCTACTTTCTGTTTGCTAAATGCTTTATACGTATCACCTTTGTCCCCAGAAATCTCCATGAGCTAGGTACTATGGCAAGTCCCATTTTATAGAAATGGAGGCTGAAAAAATTGTAGAGGTTTGCCCAAGTTCATATACCCTGAAAATGCAGAATTGGAATGCACAACCGCACCTGACTCCAGAGTCAGGGCTCTCACCACTATTCACTGCAATGGGCACAAAGAATAGACAGGCTTTAGACATAGCTCTCACATATTGTGCTACATATTCACTTTGTAGTAGGGAGGAGGATACCATGATGCTCATAGTTCAGATGTGGAAACAGAAGCCAAAGAAAATAACTGATCACTGGTCACTGAGCTAGTGAGAGGAAGCACTAGGACTCTCACTTGGGGCTTTTTAGTCCAAGCCCAGTGTTCTTTCCTCTATCAGTGGAGGACAGTAGTCTCAAGGTGGTCATCTGCTCAGAAGACCCTATTTTTTCCATATGAACAATGGGAATAGCTGGAGGGAAACTCAGGGATCTGGGGTTTCAGTAGGCCCTGAGAGCAATTTGCAGAAGGACTCAAAGAAACCTGATCCACACCTTAGCCCTGAATCTCAGGAAAGCAAAGGAAACCACTCACCCCTAGACCTTTAGCCAAAGCTATAGATAGCAACAGATCAACCTCTGGTCCAGGGAAGTAACTTCAGCTGGTGCAGCACATTCTATGAAGCTGGCCCTTTCCTCAATGACAGTAACCAAGTAAACCAACAGGCAGCAGAAAGAAATGGGAAATCCCATGCTGACTCAGCCTGCCAGGCGTGGTGTCTGCACCTCCCCCCTACCCCCAGTTCCCCTGCTGCCTCCCCTACACTCACGGTTCTGGATGGTGATCTTGCGCTGCCGGTAATCTACCCCCAGCACGGGCTCATTCTGCCCCCGCCGCTGTGCCACGATGCGAACTTCCCGCTGGTTGTCGTTGCAGTCATTGGATGGGTCCTGGCCCAGGGATAAAGCTGCCTGGTATGCTGAGGAGAGAGGGCACACTACAGTCACACAGCAATAGGGGATTCCCACAAAGAAAGATGCCCTTTCTGCTCCGGGTGTGAGACACAGTGAAATGTCTCAATTTTTCCCAAGACTATGCATCCCCCGGGACTCTTGTTAATCATGAAAATTCTGATTCTGGAGGTTTAGAGTAGGATCTGAGATTCTCATTTCTAATATGCTCCCTGGTGTGCCAGGTACCACACTTTGAGCAACCAGACTCCTTACCCCCTAAACAGGCCATCATTTGCCAGCTGTAACCCCATCTCCTGCTCCAACTTCCTTTTTCTCATTTTCAAAGTCACCCAAGCCTCTCTCTGCTCCAATGGGATTCATCCACCTGCCCTTAAAATATAAGGTCTGAGAGCCGTTAAATCTGGCAAATGCCTGCTTCCCTAGCCTCTCCTCCCTGGCCACTTAACCCAGCCATTTTAAGAGTAAACCCCAGGAAACATGCCTCAATTTAGAAAGGAGTCCTTTGGGGACAATGTCAGGCTCATTGGGTGGCTCAGACAGCTCTTGAGATTCTACTCAAATCATATTGTGAGACATTAGCTCAAGGGCTCAAAAAGGTAAAGACCGATGCCCCACCCCGCTCCCTTGGCTTCTTCTCAGGAAGCTTACTTCTTCCTACAAACAGGGTGTCTGCTTCTATTATCAAAATGTCCAAAAGGTTAATTGTCTTGGTGCTGACAGTGGGGTGGTTCTGGGTTCCTTTGTTCTTTGAGAGAGGGCAGAAATGGACAACTGGGAAAGAGCTCTGATCCAGACAGCACAACCCACATGCCTGGAGCAGTTGTCACTGAAAGGCAGGACCGGCCAACTCTAAGCAGGCGTTGTGCAGCATTAAGAGACTTCCCACAGTGAAGGGCACTAGGGGGCTTCGTCAGCAGAGGAATGACCATCTCCCTGAAGGCAGACTGAAGAAGGGAATGTAGCAAGGAGCAAGAGGCTTCACAAATGACCATTAGTCATTTGTGCTGAGTGTAGAATCTTCTTGCCTGCATTCTAAGTTGGAGGGGGTGACGGGAGGCGGGTCTGCATCATCAACTCAGTACACTGGCATGGAACCAGGAACGGACTGGGAGGCAGGACTTTCGCCTAATGTCTGAGTTACCTTAAATATTTTTAGAACAAAGCAGGACAAAAACTTTAAAATAAACTAGCATGTAACCTTGAATACATTATCTCACCTACCTGGGCTCGGTTTGTTTGTCTATAAAACAGAGGAACTGCGTTAGGTGACCTTTGTGGCTTCTCCTCACTACAAAGATTTGTGATCCTAAATAATCCCTAAACTCTAACCGCAGTGGGTCACAGAGGTGTCTGGGACCCACAGAAGGCCAAGGGGGTGAGGATACTCACACGCTGAGTAGTAGTCAAAGATAGGGTCCTTGCAGAAGGACTTGAAGCGCCATGTCACCACCACATCCTGGAGCTGGGCAGAGGTGGTGTAGTCACATTTGAGGACGACAGAGGCAAACAGGGTAACATAGCGTTCTGTGTGCTGGACCGTCACAAGCAAGGACAGACACCCTAAAGCCAAGAGCAGGAGACAATGCTGAAGGTGACCTATGTCAGTTCATGGGTAAGAAAAGCAATAAACAAATTATCAAAATAATAAAGTGGTAAGTTTTTTGATATGGCAAATAAATACAAGGAGAAGTAAGAACACAGTGTCAATACCTGGCTTGCCCTCCTGCCTGACCCTGGCTGGGAGCTCACAAGCAAAGTCTGGTTTCTTACTCCCTGGGAAGGCTATGGGTGGGGTGGGGTAGAGAATGTGCTCAGCAGCCTCAGGGGAATATAGGAAGAACGGAGTGAGGAAAACTCCCAGGAACTCACAGTGCATTAACAGTGATGACACATCCCACTATTTCAATACAATTCGATAAAATAATTGTATTGAAATAGGGCCACATTTGTACTCAAGTAACACGCTCATATATATTTTTTTCTTCACTTAATGTCTCTTCTTAAAATGGTTTCCCATTTCCTAAGGATAAATTTCAAGCTCCATGACCAGGCCTGCGAAGCCCATTAGGTCTGCCTGCTGCCCATCTCATCTGCCCCATGTCCCTTCACGCCCCATCTCCCACCTGAGGCGTCAGCCATTCTGAACTTGCTTCAATCCTTCCCATGCTAAGACCATTCTCTTCTCTAGGTGTGGCTCTCTCAGTCTGGAGCACTCTTCCATATTACCTGTCACTGCTCCATTCTCTTCCCTGGGCTAATTATGATTCACTGCAACCTCTACCTCCTGGGTTCATGCGATTCTCCTGCCTCAGCCTCCTGAATGGCTAGGATCACAGGCACCTACCACCACGCCCAGCTAACTTTTGTATTTTTAGTAGAGATGGGGTTTCACCATGTTGGCCAGGCTGGTCTTGAACTCCTAACCTTAAATGATCCACCTGCCTTGGCCTCCCAAAGTGATGGAATTTCAGGCGTGAGCTACCGCACCCGGCCCCTGAGCCACCACACCTGGCCTTCTTTTTTTTTTTTTTTTTTTTTTTTTTTTTTTTTTTTTTTTTTNTTTTTTGAGATGCAATCTTCCTCTATTGGCCATGCTAGAGTGCTGAGGCACAATCATGGCTCACTGCAACCTTGACCTCCTGGGTTCAAGTTATCCTCCCGCCTCAGCTTCCCAAGTAGCTGGGACTATAGACATGCATCACCATGTCTAACTTTTAAAATTTTTAGTAGAGATGAAATCTCACTATGTCGCTCAGGCTGGTCTTGAACTCCTAACCTCAAGCAATTCTCCAGCCTCAGCCTCCTGATGTGCTGGAGTTATAGGCGTGAGCCACTGAACCCAGCGATAGACTTAAATTTTGAACAAACTTCCAGGAGATGCTGATTCTACTGCTCTGAGGACCTACTTTGAGAACCATTGGTGTAAGCTCGATTTAAAACACACAAACACACACACACACACACACACACACACACACACGCTTTAGGCTCAGATATAGCTCGGTTCAAATTAAACTTTAACACTTACTTGAACTTTGGACAAGTTATTTACTCTCTCTGAGCTTGTTTCTGAGCCATGAATGGAGATGATGATAGTGCTAGCCTCATCAGATCCTCGCAAGAATGCAATGAGATAATCCACTTCTGGTCCTTGGCATGAAGCCTGGTACATACACTGCCACGTTAGTGCTAGTGTTTGAGTCTCTTCCCTTTTTCCCCTTATTACAAGGGCCAAGGAGAAAAAGGTTGGAGTTGGGGTTTTCTCTGACAGAGTTTTCAAGGGGAGCCACCTTCATTTGGACTGAGTTTCTCCCACAAACAAAGAAAATATAGTCATTATCTTACAGAGCAGTCGGTGGGCCTGTCTCGAAGGCTAGAATCACATGATTCTTGGGTCCTGCCTGACCTACTGGTCACAGCCCTTATAAGACTGTCCTCTTAAACTTCTGATGGGCACCTGTATCAGAAGGCACTCACAGAAATGACCTGATGACCTATTTCCGGGACTGGGCTGTGATGCAGATGCCCCATGACAGATGTGCTTGATAGAGGCTCTGCAGCAGTGCAGGGGTGAGCTGTGGGCAGAAAGATGTCATGAAAGGAAGAGATTTAACCTAGGCTCCAAGAAGCAGGTAGGATTAAGATTACACATGAGAAGTAGGAAGAAGGCAGAGAAACTCACTGTTTCAGTAAGCAAGAAAGGAGGGAGCAAAGAGCCTTATCAGGAAAGGGCAGCTACCTGGGCAACCTGGAGGAAACCAATCTAGCTGTGTCTCCAGCTTTATGGAAGACAAGGAGACAAATAAGGCAGGGCTGGTGGTGGTGAATGGGAAGTAGGTGATGGGGTGAAGTCTAAATCACATTCCAGTGTCAATTTCTTGTCTATGGATCATCACTGAAGTCTTTTCTGAAGAACAGTAACAGGGGGAAAGTGGTGTTTTTAGGAATATGGATGACTTACCCACTCAACTGTAAACGAAAAAATATCATTTTAAAATAAACTTTGAGTCGTTTTGGGGAAAACAACTGCTGTCTTCATAAGCTATAGATTCCCAGAAATCAGGCCAATTAGAATGGAAGGGCCAGTGACCAACATCTCAAGTTTAACCTGGATTATTTCTTAATCTAATTTTTGGTTCTTGTTCCTCCTCTCTGACCACCCCTTTGTTTTTTGTTTTTGTTTGTTTTCTTCCAGAACTGACCTGAAATAGACCTTGAAGATCTCACCAACCACAGTTTTATCTGAACAGTAGAAACAGCCACAGATAAGATTTTCACAATGAATAGAATGCCATTGTCAACACTGGCTTATTTTGTTACATAACACACGTACTGATGAGAAGAAAGAGGAAAACACTGATTTGTGGTCTAAATAAAATCTTAGGTTCAACAGCGTCTTAAAATATATACTATACTTGATTCCTGAGAGAAGATTAGCTGTGTTCACTTCCTATATAACAAATCTGAGGCTTAGAAATTTAAGTGACTTGTCTGTAGTCATTTATTTTCTAAGGCTGGCAGAGTCGAGATTCTGTTCCTGAGCAGTGTTCTTGCCTCAGCTTGGCTATTCTTTAAATAAAAGATAGTTGGTATTCAGAAGTTTGCAAATAATTGGAGCTGGGGGCCAGGCTATAATTAAATATAATCGGTGCAGTCACTCTGACACAGTGAAATAAAGAACATGTAGGCTCTTTATTTGCCTAAATGATAATTTGACATAGCCATTTATTCAACATTCTAGTCATCATTATTTGTATAGAGGTAGAGCTTTTGGGAGCAGGGAGGCCAGGTTTGCTGGGGGTCAGAAAAGGGAATTTGGTTTGAGTCAGAGGTTGCTATGGGGTAGCTTTGAAGATTGCAGAATCTGACACCTTTGAGGCGGGGAAATGGAGAGAAAGATGATCACTCAGCTCCCCTTCCATGAATGCCCTCATTGTGGGCAAGCCACAGCTGGGGTGACACAACTCACCTTTATCAACGTCAGCACTAACTTTGCTGCTTGGGTACTCTTTTACCTTCTCTTCCATTTCATCCCTGTGTGAATAGCAAGCCTTGATATCTGCCAGGTTTGACAAGTTCTAGCCATCTTGAGCTCACTCACACTCTCTCCAGGGGTCTGCCAGCCCCACAGCATCCTGCACAGACCTCAAACCTCCACCCCCTGCCCTGTCTCACACACACACACACAAACACACACACACACATGCACACAAACACACATGCACACACACACACACACGAGTTCTGGGAGAAGAGGTATTGAACAACCCAGCTAACTCTTCTCCCATCTTCTCAGTTGTTGCTGCTGGCCCTCAGCATCTATTATGTACCAGGTGATGTACATTCTCTGTCTCTAATTCTCACAAACTCCCTCAGCTGGGCAACAGCCCTGCTCATATATGTGGGCAAAAGTTCAGAGTATAAGCTACACCCCCATGGACCCAACATCACATACCTAAAAAGTGTCAGCGTCAGAATTTGAGCTTGGGCCTTGCTGACACCAAATCCCAACTTTTCCCAAGCAGGCAAGCTTGATCTTCCACAGTAGAAGTGAAGTGCCAGACTCTTAAAATGTAGCTGGATTTTCCAGATTGGGAGGGAAAGAAAGGCAGTAGCAGAACAGCCCATCTCAAAGAGAAAAATCCCCCCACTTTCTTTTCCTATATCCTCTAACTTCTCTGTAAACCTAACCACACTGGGCATGCACAGAACTAAAAAGGTAGAGTTTTCAAGGAGGGACCCAAAGCAGCAGAATCAGACTGAAAATATGAACAGGATCAAAAAGAGAAATTCCCTGATTATACTCATCCTGGTTGCAACTTTGCTCTTTCAAGCTTACCACAAGCTTTCCAATTCTTAAAATTTCTTCTATTCTTAAATTTCCTTTATCCTGTGGCATTTTCTCCTCCCCTGTTCATTGACTCCTAATTTCTTAGCTGTCATTTCTATCATTTTCTCTTAAAAACGTTAATTCTAGAGCCTGACTCCCTGAGTTCAGATTCTGTCTCCACTCCCTACTAGCTGATTGGTAATGTGATATAAATAGTAGTTTATTCTCTGCAGTTTATTCTCTGCACTCTTGGAACTTGTGCTCCTGGTAGGAGATTCAATGATGAACAGGAAAACACACAGACAAAGTAGTTCCTGTCATGGATGAGTTTTACATTATTAAACAGAAACTACAGGAGCACTGAATATTAAATCTTACTCCTGTACAATAAGGGACTAAAACAGACACATGTATCCAACACTGTAGTCAACATTAGTTGCTGGGGGTCAGAAAAGGGAATTGGGTTAGTCAGAAGCTGGCATAGCAAGTTATTTTCAAACGATTGTTTTCCTTTGTATGCAAAACTGAGATGATAATAATGCCTGCCTTATAGGGTTGTGGTGAGTATAAAAAAAGTTCCCCATTCAGCAAAGGGCTGGGCATATAGTAGACATTCAATAAACATTGGCTATCATTTGTATCATTTGTACTTATCTTGACTACTTTAGGAGTTCCAGATCCACTGAGACCAGCATGTAAGAGCATTTTGAAAAAATGATACAAATGTAAA